GATGACCTTGGTGACTTTTGACCCGGAAATCAGACTTTTCTAAGGGAGAAGGGTGTAATTACTCTTAGAATACCAAAACACATACCCCAGACATTTCAATACAAATGTTTTGTTAATTGTTTATTATCATAGATAACAATGTTATTATTTGTATTATTATTTTAATGTCTTTAAAACTCTCAACCCTTATTAGTTTTAATTATTATCTTGGAAAACTACTTTGGTGATTGCCTTTGTTCCTGTTTTTGCCTCATAATGACATAAGGTTACACAAACTATCAATATGCAGTCCATGGATTTGGGATAAGTACAGTGACCAAAAACTTACCAATTACTTTTTATGACAAATGTTCTAATAAAGCTGCTAGGTTAGAATTAGTTTTAATTCTTACCTTGGAAAAAATACTTTTTTTTACTTTTTAAGACCATTGTGGGACACTGCTGTGCGAAATTCACTGCCACATTTCACCCACAAAATACACAGTAAATCCACTTTGCAATATATTCTGTGAAGCACTTTGAGACGTCTCAATGATGTGATAAGGCACTATTTTAAATGCAAGGATTATTATTATTATATTGGTGCTTGCTTTTGTTTCTACCTGCTGGGTTAATGAACAAAAGGTACAGGTTATCAATCAGTCTGCCAGTTGGTGAGATCTACTTTCTGTTTCCTTATTAAGGAATCTCATTAGAAATTCTTTATTAGATTCCTCCAATGTCGGAATGATAAGGATCCACCATCTCATATCAAACCTTACCTTCTCTATCTTAGTATTCCTTCTCACATAATCATGAACCAAATCTTCTTCAATTTTCCTGGTTGCTATAGATGACGTCACTGGTGCTGGCATTTTATTCCGTTGTGTCATAAAAGCAAATGTTGCTCCTAGGAGATAGTTGGGTAAATGATTTGGATCATACAACATAGCAAGAGCTGTGCTAATTGCAAGATCCCTGAAAGTGATTACAAGGCAGCAATCTCACTGAAGGAGTTGAATAGTGTAGCGGTCTGATTTATGAATAGTGTAAACTATGTGTAAATACAAGTCCCTAGAGGGAATTGCAGATGTTTTTAATCATAGTACAATGCCTGTTATCTACATGCCAACTATATGCATGTCTGCTTATCTGCATCAGAGCCTGGAGTATTTATACATTTTTATGATGCTGGGTTAGAATCAGAGAAGGAGATAGTGACAAACATAAAGATGGAGAAAATCATGGAGAGAGAGAAAATATGTTCAAAAAGGCCTCACTGAATTTATACGAAAGCATTTGTAGTATTTTTGTCAAATATGTCGGGACTTTGATCTCATATAGTCCCACATTTGGACTTTGATTTCATTTAGTCGAGACTGACATTCCAGTACAGTGCTGGGGATGTTAGAGGTGCTGTCCTTTCGATGAGACATTAAATGGTTTTGCCCAGAGGCATTGTCACTTTTTGAAAGAGAAGGGAGTTTCTCACAGTGTCCTGGCCAACAATCCACTAAATAAAAAAAAATCATTCACTTCATGGCTGTTTGTGGACAATTGGTGTTCTCAGATTGGCTGCCACTTCCACCCATAAAATAGACGTGACTCCACTTTACAGTATATCCTCTGAATCTCTTTGAAACATTCTCCTGATGTGAATGGTGAGGTATCAAATGCAGGATTTTAATTTTTTTATTATAAATGTCTTCAGAAAGATTTGATGAAATCATGGCGCCTTGGAAAATTTGCCCTAAATTGATTAAAAAGACCATGTCAACACATGTGCATGCTTTTTATTTTTATCTGGAAAAGTACAGAACAAAAATACTTAACCAATATGTAAACAGTACTCAACCTCTTGAATGTGATGTATGAAAGCCTAAAGGGTATGTTTGATTATTGCAGCAGGAGTTTACACATGGTTGAAAACATATTTTCGTATAGTGTATAACAGTCCATGAAACTGTGCTGAACCTACCAGTGACAATTTACAATTTACAAGTGTGAATTATATTTAATTCACACAATTTGTCACTGTTCACACTTATAGCACATTGATTATACTCCCCCACCCCCCCCCAATTTCACAAAGAATTACTACTTGGGGTAGGGGTTTATTTGCACAAATGAACAAATCTGATGGATTACAAACATTAGAATGCAAAACAATATTGCAATAGAAATAAATGGGTTTTAATTAAACTTAGAGAAAATAGCTTTGAAATTTATTGTAATGGCTGAGTAATGATAACTTCAGTGTTATTTACAGTAATATTCAAATATCTTCACGATGATTACTTCGGCCAGTACTCCCTCAACAGTCTCATTTGGAAACTTGTATTTAAATCACTGGGAGCAGGAGTGTGCATGTGTGTCTGCCATTAAGACCAAAGAGTTCATACTGTTCTTATAGTGGGAATTCTTATTGTAACTGTGCATGCTGACAAACAACTGTACTTATGGAACAGTATCCCATAAGTCATGGATTCAAGGCCCACTCTGTAATGTTGTGTTTTAATTCCAAAATTTTGTGCAGTTTTGTCCCTTTATAATATGTTAACTTATAGTGATGATTCGGTTTTGATGCTACACCGTGGACTCCATTCGCCACAATTGCATGCAGCCAGCCTGTTTGCCTCTCACACACAAAACCGCTCGCGCACTCAAATAGCAGGAAGTGATTTCAGTAGGTACCTGATAACCAACTAAATGGTTGACTTTCTAGTAATTTGGTTGCTGTCGACATCGTTTCCTGCTTTACGCATGCGCAACACATAGGAAGTGACATCATTGGTAACCCGATGACTGGGAAGTGCAAGAACCAAATCGGTTGGTCGTGCACATGTACAGTGAATCTGGCTATCGCATTATAAAGCCAGTTGGGTTATTGGGAATCTCCAATGACCATGTTATAGCGGGACTTCATTGTAATTTAAGTTGGCGCTAGAAAAAAGGCTATAAAAACTGACAGATTGTTGCAAAAACTTAAATGATTCACGAAAGTCTTTCAGGGAAGAAATTCTGCCATCCTTACCCAGTCTGGCCTACACATTTTTCCAGGCCCACACTATGTGGTTGTCTTTGAATGTGCTCTGAAACGGCCAAGCAAAAACACTCAGACTGGATAATTAGAGATCAGCAATAAATGCTGGCCCTACTAATGTTGCCCACGTTCTAAGAGAGTAAAAATCTGACCTGGGGAGAACAGCTCGTATTATGTTCCAAGCAAAATATTGCAAGAGGGTCACTATATTTTTCGGAGAGCGGAGAATAAAGCCCATGTAGTCTTTCAACCCTTTTGCACTTACACAAATTTCAGTGCGAGATACTTATTTACTGTAGAAATGTTATTAAGTATTTGAAGTTCTGTATATTAATTCTAATATTGTTATGATATGTGTTTTTTTGTAACAGTATGGGAGGGTGGGGGGCTTTGGGAGGGGGTGGGGGCTTGGCTATTCAGCAGTTCCCTTAATGTTAGGAACTGCAAGTTGTGTGAAGATGGGTTCTGCTCACTGGGCATCCAAAATGCTGTTAGTGATAGTCTATTGTAGGTAACGTTTACCATATCAAATGCACAATGACGATAATCACATAACCGATGGATGGTCATTTGAAGGATGTGTATCCCATGATGGGGAAGTTGAGGGAGAGATTTACCGCTCAGTCTGATCTTGTCCACATTTTTTATCTGCTATTAAGCACTTTCAAGCAGATGCCTAGATAGTGATCAGAAATCTTCCTTTTTAGCACAGGTGTACTAAGACCAAATATAGTTATTGACCAGGCAGAAATCATCTAACCCAACATTGAACTTGGGAGCATCCTATTTAGGCTCAGTTTTACTGTGAGTAGTGGCTTTAGTAGCTCCATTATTGTTTCGAGTTTATTATAATAATAATCCTTGCATTTGATATAGCAGCATATCACATCATCCAGGCATCTCAAAAATACTTCACAGGATACACTATAAAGTGGTTTCACTGTGTATTTTGTGAGCGAAACATGGCAGCCAGTTGCATACAGCAATGACCCACAAACAGCCATGGAGTAAGTGACCAATTTTATTTGGGGATTGTTGCCCAGGACACCCGGAGAAACTCCCTTTTCTTTTAGAATAGTGCCATGCAATCTTTAACATCCACTTGAACTGACAGACTGGACCTCAGTTTAACATCTCATCCGAAGGACGGGACCTCCAACAATGCAATACAACCCTAGCAATGCATTGGAGTGTTAGCTTAGACTATGTGATTCCGAGTCCCGATGTGGGGCTTGAACCCCAACCTTCTGACTCAAGGGTAAGAGCACTACCACTGAACCAGGCTGTATGTAACGTTAATTTCCTATTATAATTCTGCTGGCTAACAATTGGTTTTCTAATCTTGATGATCAGCATTCATAAACTCCATTGCTTCTATAATTTGTTTTGGTATCCTTCTCAATGTTTAATTATATCTTTAACTCTGATAGGTTTCTTTAGAGGAAAGAATGAATGCGGTTGCCTGAGTCCAATATCCCAAATAGCATGCTTTGATCAAATCATGAAAAAATGGCCAACTTACAGGTTGACTGATCAAAACTGATGTCACTTTACGTGTGCTGTGCATGTGTGATACATGCAGGAAATGACAACAGCGACACTTCCTGCATATCCTGCGTCCAGCATGCAGGATATAATGTCAATGGTGACCTAACCACCTGGAAGTGCCCATTTATTTGAAAAGGGAGGTGAGTTTCTCCTGGTCAAGAATGTCTAGATATAATGAGTGTTCACCTACTGGCTATTTGTGGGACAGTGTTGCGTGTAAATTGGCTTTGGGTGTGCCGAGAAATACTCTTAACAGTCCTATACTTAACAGTAATTACTCTAAAGACTTTGAGATCTTTTAATGTTACAGGCACTATCTCGAATGCAAAGATTATCATTAATCCTTAAAGGATTTTACATGGAATGTACCCTTTCTATTCAGTGGGATCCAAGCCTGTCTTCCTGTAATAATATTGTAATTGGGTTACAGATATCACGATAGCCAAGATGTCACAAGCAACTTTCTTGGAGCAATGTGGCTTATTTCTATCACATTTCTCTCCATTGGATATGGTGACATGGTACCGAATACTTACTGTGGGAAAGGAGTCTGTCTGCTCACTGGGATTATGGTAAGTGTTTCATTAAAACAGTAATAATCATATATTGTATCCTATATATGAAGGACATCATCATATCAATACAACTGGGCTATGTGCAAATTCCTAGATTTTTTATGTAAATGTATAAAGGTCTTTTTTGTACCAGGAAGTCAAAACAATACAAATTATCACAAGATTCCTGGAAATATATAGATCTGGAATTGTTAAAATCGACACTCAGAAATGCTTTATAAATTGATCCTGAACTCCTTGCAATTTTTTCTAAGAACAGAAGCCACTTTGCTTTCAGGTACTGTTGTTCTATACAAATTGGCTGCTGCATTCTACTACAATATACACAGTCATGGCACATTGCAATAAGATGCTGTAAGGCACTATTAAATGTCCTTCTGACATGAAAGGTGCTATGTCAAATGTAAGGATTATTATTTACTATTTAGATATATAATGGCAAGATTCCTCAATAGCTTCCTGGTTTCATCGCTGGTCTGTGCTGATTTACCTGACTGTAACCAGATTAGCAGTAGAAGTATTACATTTTGCCTCAGATTTCTTGGGAAAGGGAGAGGAAATAATGAGACAGGATTCCTGTTTCTAACACATTTTCAATAATCTCTGCTGGAATAATAATAATAATCCTTGCATTTGATATAGCGCCTTATCACATCTTCGAGATGTTTCAAAGCACTTCATAGGATATACTGTAAAGTGAATTGACTGTATATTTTGTGGGCAAAACGCGGCAGCCAATTGTATTAAATTGTGTAAAATTTTGTGTTGTGTTGCTAAAAATTGTGAAATTGTGTTACTAAAATGGTACATTCTATGGGAGTTTCTCCCATGTCTTGGGCAAGAATTCTCCAGATTAAAAAAAATTGGGCATTGATTTCATGGACTGCTATGTTCACCTACAAATAAAAAGTCACTTTACAGGAAAATCCTGTGAAGCACTCTGAGGGGTATTTGAGGGATATACTTCTGACTTCATATCAGGAATTGTGATGCTTCACTCTGTTTGCTTCAGGGCATACTTTATATTGTGCAGCAAAAAGCATCCAGACCACTAAAAGTGCATCGAAGCCAAAGGCAATTACTGTATAGTGAGAGCACTTTACTTCTCCAACAATATGGGTAGTTCTTGGCATTTCTTTTATTCATTTATGTTTTTTGTCATTCAGATCCTCAGTGTGAAAGATACGTTCCGAGTCAGTGCTATACTTTAGAATATGTATTTTTTATGAATTCATTGTCCTCTGTGTTAGATATATGACATAGTTGCAGGCCATTTATATTGCTGGTTGTGTTAGCTTAATGTATTTTTCACATTGAATCAATGCATATTCAGGTAAGTGGTAACTGGTGGAGACCACCTCAGACCAGTATCTCAGACCACTTGAGGTGAAGGATTTCTCTACTGAGATTTCTATTTTGGGCATCTTCCAGGTCAGGTAAATTGGATGAGGCAAAGTTCCCTCTTCTCTCGTGAACCATTTGCCTTAACCAGCACCTTACAGTTTGTGTGTGAGTGTGTGTGTGAGAGAGCGTGTATGTGTGTGCGTGTGCAGGGATGGGGCGGGAGGCCCATTTCCGACACTGACTGTCCTTCTCTGAGGAGTCTACCAAACTGTTAACAATTTTTTTCCTGTGGAAGGAAGAGGGAGCAACACTTCCTCTCATCAGTCTGGCCTCAATTCAAGCAAGAACACCCAAAATGAAAGGACATTCATAACGCAGTGCACCTCCTAAAACCAATGTCTAAATATTTTAAATGGAATAACATTTTGAACTATTTCCTTGTTGCTTGTTACATTATAGGGTGCTGGCTGCACTGCTCTAGTGGTAGCTGTGGTTGCAAGGAAGCTGGAACTTACCAAAGCAGAAAAACATGTGCATAATTTTATGATGGATACACAACTGACTAAACGAGTGAGTTTTTGTGGGCGGCGGGGTGGGAGGTGGGGATAGAGGTGAAATTAGAATGAAAACTGTACAATTATCTTCCTAAACTGTTTTCAGGAACAGAATATCTCCTCCATATTCAATTCAGGAACTCAAATCAAACAGCAGAACGATGCGAAAAAATCACTATCCAGTCACATTTCTCTGCTGCAAAGCATTTATTCTACAGCAATGTTGCACATCGTGATTTATTTTGATATTGCACTAATGTTTCAGTGCTTGACTATTATTATACATAGAATCCCGGTGGCACACAGCGTACATTTCTCTCACTTTCTGCATGCTCTCAATTGCTTGTTAAAATGCAGTGTGAAGTGTAAGATTGCCTAGGGCAAATGAGAGATGGCAACACACTGTGTCTTAGACAATTCATCCAAGAATCTGGATCCAGCTTTGAGAATGACTGTGGAAATATAAGGTGATTCAGTACAATGGGATTGACACCACATGGGATGAACGCTACCTCCATCCAGAGTTCAAATTAACCTTTTATTTTGTGATTGTAATTGTATTGTAGTAAAATTAAATGCACAAGCAATTCCAAACATGATACATTGTTCCTCATCACCAGCAAACAGATTCAGTCGAAGCATCCTAAAAGGTCACAAAGAAAAGTAGGTAGCAATGGCAATTCACAGTCTCTGTGAATAGTACCAAATGTTTTGACCAAAGAAAGATGTACATTTTCGTGTCACTGGGGCTGCAGCAGTAAGTGATAAGAAAGTGTTTGGTTAGGTACTCCTTAGAGTGAACTCATCCTCATAAACTCAGCAGTATCTCTCCAATAGCTTAGAAAATGGGAGAGAGAAATTCCACTTAAGTCTTTATTTACTCTATTTATTTAGCATTTCAAAGCATCCAGAACTTGGCAAATTGTTGAATTCAGTCTTAAATTTGAAGCCAGCTTTCAGTAATTCTAAAAAGAATTTATAGAAAGCTGCTTTCAAAATTAAAACTATATCTAAGAATTTGTCAAATTCTGCAAACTTTGAAATGCTGCAGAACTAGAGTAAATCTGGACCCAGGTGGAATTTCCCAGTCTTTGTGTCCCTTAGAAGGCAATTTGCTGGTAATGTGTTTAACTTTGCATCTTCTAGACTAAGGTCTCAGAATAGCAAAACTGAAATTAATAGGCCCAGATTTTATTTAGCACGTTTTGAACCATCAATTAATTAACATCTCAAGTGTTGTCCCTTTCTGGTAACTGTTGCTGAGCTCCCATACCAGCACTCAAAGCTAACTAGACTCCTGCTTGAGATTACTCCTTATTTATACATAGAGGTGTATAATATTTTAAATGGGATGCAAAAGTAAGACAAGAACAATACTTTCAGATGCACCAAGGTAGTTGAACAAGAGGACGAAGGTTCAGAGTTGCAAAGGGCAGTTTCAGGGCAGAAACCAGGAAGTATTTCTTTACTCAAAGGGTAATTAGCGCTAGAATAGGTTACGAGGAAGGATGGTTGAGGCCAGGACACGAAACTAATTTAAACAGTAGCTTCATGCTATGATATGTAGATGATAGGGTGGGTATTCTGAAAGGATAAAATCGATGGGACAAAAGGCCTTCTTCATCTGAACTAATCTTGTGTACTATTCCCACCAAGATGTCCTCCTGATGTGAACAGCGCTACATGAAATGCAAGGATTTTTTTTCATTCACTCAATAAGAAAACAATATCAAATGATTCATTTCTCCTTGCTTGTTCTAAAGGGGAAAGGGCCATTGGTCTGCTACCAGCCTGTATGGTCCTGAATTGTTTATAAAAGAGAATGTGTACTGAAGACATCCCTACATTGTCAGAAATTAAGATCACCAAACTCAAGGAATGAAAATGTGTGTTGCACATTAAGCCTGGAAAAGAATGGTACAGTGGAGAGCAGAAAAGGAAAGAAGAGGATTCATGATATGATCTAACACATTGACTACCAGAATAGAGACAGCTACAAGCCAGAGACATCCTGTGGGCTATCTTGGATTCCAGAGCCAACCAATTTGGATTCCAGAGCTAAGGGGACATCCGTAATTCCTACCAGGCTGGTATTTAGTGGGTCCTCGGCTGCTTAATCCACAAGAACTTGCAAGCATTTGGATTCTTTCTCTGCAGCTGCCAGGCAAATCATCAGGAGTCTGGAGAATATGGAGGTCCCAATTACTGTTGATAACCTCTGAGAATGGAAGTGCAATGTAATTACTGCCCATCCCCATAAGGGAAGATGTGGGCTTCAGCCTTAGTATCTATCAGTGAGCCATTAGTGGGAGTGTCAGTACAATTTGTAATACTAACAATATGTAACAGAATGAAAGCTAAGCACTGTATTTCAAGTCTCCTCTTACCTCCTCCAGTGACAGCCCAGAATTCATGTGTTCTGGCACTGCACAGAGCAGTGAATTTGCACAATATCCAGAGTGGAGTTTCTGCAGGTCAATGGGAACTCTAATCGATTAAAGAATCCCTTTCCAAACTATCCCAAATTTAGACCGTACCGTGTAAGACTCATTAGATTTATTTTTTATCTATCTGTTTTAACTTCTTACGTATTTTAAACGTGTGTTATATTCTCAAAAGATAACAGAAACTGACCGTGAGCTTTTCTGTGCAGGTGAAAAATGCAGCTGCCAATGTACTCAGGGAAACATGGTTAATATATAAAAACACAAAATTAGTTAAAAAGATAGACCATGCAAAAGTGAGGAAACATCAACGGAAATTTTTGCAAGCCATTCATCAGTGAGTATTAATTCTGTTCTTCTGACGCTCTTGTATTGTAGAAACTATGTTGTCTCACCAAGTAACTGCTTTTATGTCTGCTGTTTTAAGTGCACCTATTTGTGAAAAAAAAGTACTTTTCATGCTACTGTTGGCATCTACTTTCGATAGTATTTTGACTTGTGTCTAACTGATACCTTAGCATTGCATCCTTAGTATAAAACCTGCTGAATTTATTTTAAAATCCACAAACACTTTGAATAATGTTGACTTAAATCATTCATTGTTTGTCACAGGTTGATCACTTGCAACTAAACACACAAAATAGTAGTTGGGTTCCTTTTTGTGCAATTTAATACTGTATGATACTGTACTTTTAAATGTTCTTTGCTAATTTTGTGAAAACTAATGCATGACCTTTAATTATTTTTCGTTGAGTTTTACGTCGGTCCCTTGTTTAACTCTTTGAAGACACAGAACATTATTCCAAACAAGATCACCTAAAAAGATAGTAATCTTTTACATATTTGGAATCAGCTTATTTGGCTGTAGCTTGTTCTTGTTTTGCACATTTATGGCACATGCTCATTGTGCACTAAAATAGCTAACATGACAGCAATTCAGATAATCACTTTTGGAGAGTGATTTAAGGAAACAGATTTGTTTTAACAAAACAATGGTTCATTTTCTCAAAGGGTTAAATGAAAGATATGTTAGGTGTTTGCTTATACCTTTTTGTTTAGATAAGTGTGATGATACGAATTGTGAAATTTATATTGCTTTGTGCCTTGTTTTCTGGTGTACCTTATTTTATATTTAATTTCTTTTTTGTTTGTCTTTTTTTATTTCAACAAAATGAAACTAGAGCTCGAAAGTAAGTTTTATGTGCTGTTTCTCATACATTCCAAAGATTTTTCAAACCCGTATGCATGCCAGAAAGAGGTCTTACTGTTGTGAATCTGATGGTATGAGCACACCCATGGAAACGTGATCAGAAACATGATCGTATCTGTGATAAGTGAAATTCAGCAGGAATGAAATGACAATAAGACGAATATTATTAAAAAGATAGCCTAGATACAGCTTTAACCCAGCAATGCACTACTTTTATTCAATAGCTCTTGCAGCTAAACAGTTCTCCTCTGCAGAATAGTTTTTATTTATTATTCCCTTGAAGCTAAATAACTGCCAGCAAAAAAATCTGTTATATAAAACAAATGATAATCTTGGAATGTACTAATGGAAAATACAGATTGTACTTTGTCAAAATAGTTTAATACCTTTTATTAAGGGTTACAGACCGATAGAAACTCCTCACTGCCAGCAACTATTAATGAAGTATCTGTTCATAGCATTTTAATTACTTAGGTTTTAAAGGGTATTGTGATTTCTGCTGTGTTTATCCAGAGCATCTGACTATGTTTTGCAGTCAAAGCCTGATATTCACCTCCTGATCCACATTGCATTGAACTGAATCTGTTAGCTAATGGATGACCTTCTCCTGAATACTTTTTAACAGCTGTCCACACTAGTGTTGTTCTAAAAAGTTTTCATTGTACTTAAAAGAAAATACAGAAAATCAGCTTCAAAATTAAGATGGGCATTTAAGAATTGTCAAATTGTGGATGCTATGAAATGCCTCCTCAACCTACCCAATCTGTCCTTAAAGCTCTCTGAACCCATGCACAACATAGGCCTCAGGTTTGATCCCCAGTTATCCTTCCTTCCCCCATATCCGGTCCCTGGCTCAGGACCGCTTTCCTCCACCTCCACCACATTGCTCGCGTCCGACAATACCTCATCCCACCAGCTGCCGAAACTCTTGTCCATGCCTTTGTCACCTCTAGGCTGGACTACTCAAACGCCCTCCTCACCTCTTCCACTATTCACAAAATTCAACTCATCCAAAACTCCGCCGTCCACATTCTCACCTGCACCAAACTCTGCACCCGGATTACTCCAGTCCTTGCCAAACTCCACTGGCTCCCTGTCACAGAGTGGATCGACTTCAAGATCCTCACTTTAGTGTTTAAATCCTTCCACGCCTTGGCACCCCTCTATCTCTCCAACCCCCTCTCTCCTAACAGCACTACCCACTGCCTCTATTCTACTGGCTCCAGCCTCCTCCTTGTCCCTCGAATGCTCCGCTCCACCTTCAGCCACTACACCCTGAAACTATGGAACTCCCTCCCTCAATCCCTTTGCCTTGCCACCTCTTGCCCCATTTTCAGGTTACGCCTAAAGACCTTCCTCTTTGACCATGCCTATGGGTCACCGTGTGTCACCTTCCCCCTCCCTCTGGCTCAACATCAGGCTTTGCCATTTTAAGCGCTCTGGATGCCACCTGGCATAGAGTGCGCTATATAAATGCAAGTTGTTGTTGTATGAAATGCTAAGAAAATCAAAAACATCTTAACCCACATGGAATTTCTATCCCATAGGCCTCCTTCTGCACAGTAAATTGCTATGATTCTATGACACTGGCGTTTGGTAAAGATTGAGCATGTTATTGATCTAGGTGGGTAAATAGGTGTGAGCTAATGTTAGTTGTAGTGTGTCTTGCAAAGTTCTGATGTTTTCTGAGATGTCTCATTTTTCACAGAGTTGTTGGGATGTAGAATGCTCTGCCAAGTAAGGTAGTAGAGGCAGAGTCCATTTGTAGGTTTCAAGAGGCAAGTAGACAGGTGTAAGAAAAATAGAGGCCTAGAGGGCCTATGGGGATATAGGTATGAATGAACAGCTTGCTCTGGAAGCCTGTGCTGAATTATTGGGTCGAATGGCCTCCTTCTGCACAGTAAATTACTATGATTCTATGACACTGGCGTTTGGTAAAGAATGGGAATTAGGAAGAGAATCTGCTTGGTTACGTTTATAACCTGTTGTTTCTTGTGGATTTTGTTTATTTCATTACTTAACATTGTAGTATTTCAAGGTTTGATAATTGTGCAGTTGATTTTACATTCTTTGTTTCAGAGGGTTCCCGGGAGTTTGTTTATTGCAGTTAAAAGCTTTGGAAAAAACATGTTGTGTCTCCATTGGCTTTTTGTTTCTTGGATTATGCTTATAGTGCATTCATGAGTGGCACAAGCATAATAGCAGCAACTGTTGTTAATCGCTGAGGTAAGTAGTGTTCTTTAGGGATGACTTAAGTGAGTTATTAGTGACACTTTTTCTGGTGCTGCTTCGCACTATGACTTTATTTGGTTTTGATGTCCATTATAGTTATGGGTAATGGGTGAGTACACACAGGTCTGCGGAGCTTTGAGAGACTGGTTACTCTGTTGCATTTGAAGGCAATGTGTGATCAATGAAGATATTGTGTTAGATGAAAAGCATCAGAGTGTAGCTGGCCGATGGTGAGTCAGCTCGATTAGCCAAACTACCCCAAGCTCAAGTAGGACGGAGGTGGAATCCACTTGCATTGCAGGTGAGAGGTGTTCTTTACTTATCAACTGGAAATTGCGGTATTTCACAGACATCACAGTTTTCACCCCTCTATTTGCTTTCACTCTGGTTCTCTCTGATCTCTTTCTCACATTGATTCTTTTATCCCTCAGGTCCCTCTTTTATACATTTGTCCTTTTACATTACTGGATTGTCTCAGGCGGGCAGCCTGTCTCTGGAGGCAATGAGCAGTGTTAAATGGGTGTTCATTCTGCTGCCAGATCCAGAAAATCGGAGTCTGATATCAGATGTTCTAAAGATCTGACTTGATATTGTAAAGTAGGAGTTCCAGATGATTAGGGACACTGACATCTTGCACCCATGCCTGTGTCTTGACAATACTATGTACATATCATGATAATGTCAAGATGTTAATGGATATGCATTCTGTTAGTATGCTTTTTGAGATGTCCCCTTGTTGCCAAATAATGATAGTGAATCTTGCGAAACGTTGGAAGGAAAGTTCCAACATCTGAATTTCATATGTGGAAGTTCATCATTTGCCACAGGAATCGAATCAGTCCTTTGTGGGAGTGTCTTGGTCATCTGGTTATCGAGACATGATGACAGACCAACCAGTTTGACTCATCAGCAGAACTGGTTGGGACAGACTTGAGGTAGGATTTTCCCATTAAGCTCCTGTTAATCCTGCAAACCAAAGCTTTTATTGAGTAGGGTGGTCCTAGCTGGACGAGTATTGCGAATAACTTATCAGACAAAGCTTATGATGGTAAGCTAAGCGGTTTTAGCTGGTTAAACTCTAGCTGGACCCTCTTGCATATTCTAAGGTCCTCAAGCCCTGGTTCCTGCCATCCTGCACCAAATACTTTCCAGAATTAGGTACACAGTGTGCATCCCTCTGGTGAAAGAGTTGCAGACTTCATTGCAGACAAATGGGAAATTTCCATGCATAGGCGGTGTGCATATCTGGAACTCCTAATCTGGTTTGGATACTCTTAAATATGGTTAGCCCCAAACAAATACATTTATTTGTTTTCCAAGTTTCTTTCTCCTTCAAGTAGCATGGAGAATTGCTTTAAAAAGATCTTCATTAATATTGAGGATTCTAAAAACAATCAGTTTCAGTATAAAAGTCATTTCAAAACAATGGTTCTTACTTGCTTGAATAATCACTTCAGGGACAAGTAATCCAGATGACTATATTTGGAAGAGCAATTTCTAACACACTCACATCACTCTTGGTTGGCAGCCCATCTATTGCCACAGTTACAGATGTAACAGATGGAGATCAAGCACTTGTAGCAATTTGTTCCTTGGGCAAAAGCAGACAGTGATCAATAATGCAGTTTAAGAGGATCTTCAAAGAAACCGGGAGATTATCTTGAGAGTCAGTCTGTTTTTTGCAAGCTAATTTCATGCAATAAACCCACAGAGGATACTGCACATAAAGGTGTTGAACACACTATTCATTCCACAAGTGATTGGAAGTTTATAACTAAATAAGCTGGTCAGATCTCTTTCACATCTAGAATATAACCAAAGTGTTCAACACCTCCATGCATAATATTCTACTGATAACAGTACAATGTTTCACCTTTCTGTGGCATGCATATAAATGAAACAAAAACATATTGTGAGTGGGATATATTAGGTAGGGAGTGTCCTGCTTACTTCACCAACCCACTACTCGTTGCCTCCACTCAAATGGCTCCGGCCTCCTGCTTGTCCCTGATGCTCTCTATTCCATCATTAGTGGCCTGATTTTCAGCCCTGAAACTCTGGAACACTCTCCCTCAATCCCTCCGCCTTGCCCCTTCCTTGCTGATCTTCAGGCCGCTCCTGAAGACCTTCTTCTTTGACCGTGCCTACAGTCACCTCCCACTGGCTCAGCATCATGTTCCACCATTGTCAAGCACTCTGGGTCACTGCCCTGCGTGAGGAGCGCTATACAAATGCAAGTTGTCTTTTTTGTTGTGTCACAGTCTTGAGTCATATGTAAAAATACTTGTTTTGTTGACAGTTGCCATTATTGCCCTCAATATATTATCATTGCCATTTGGTTGTTGTAGAGGGTGTATTGGTGGAGTGTATTTGGAGATTTGGTTATTGGGGTCTGAATTTGCTTAGAATTCCATGGTTGAATAAGTTTTTTGAATCTGTTTTCCAATGGGTGACTACTCATGCCTGAGAGGAATTTATTTCCACTGTTGATGTCCTAGAATGTGAATGAATTGGCATGGTTACAATTAATGCTCACTGATAGCAAGAGTTAGCAAGCAGCTGTTGTTTTCTCCCCTTCAAAGTGCTGGTAGATCATGGTTGGTTGTTATCTCAAATGCATAAATTTGGTGTTGATGTAAGTGAAATAAAAGGATCCATCAACTCCTGTTCAGGGCCACAAGTGTTCAATCACTATAGTTACTGGATGGCAGCGTTCAGCTTTTCCACTTAAAAATTACTTTGCCAGGCATCCTGAGAACAAAATGAACATGCTGACAAACCGTGCTGACAAAACGTACTGGCAATTTTAAGATGTGCTTTAGAATTAGCATTCACAGATGGCATCTCACTACATATGGGTTGTTAGTTATGAATGCTCTTTTAGGAGTTTGCATTGGAAACGTCAACCCCATCCACTCTGAAGAGTGAAATTGCTGATAAGGAAATGGCATGAAGTTGGGATCAGAAGTCATGATATTGTAGATCATCTTAAAACGGAACAGCACAAAATAGTGACAATATAAAGAAATGATCCAGCCTGTGATGTTTTGATCTATAGAATATACCAATACTTTTGAGTATCCACCCAAAATTTCAGTGCAAGAGCTGTTTAACAGTCTGCATTTTATTCTTGTGCTAAATTAAACTTTCCTATCAAACATCCAATATGAATGGCCAAAAACATTATAAATGTTAAATGTTTTTTAAAAGAATAACTTTACCTATAAAGTACCACATCTCAAGTATCTGTTTATGAATTAAAACAGCTTCCTCTAATTACTATTCACATTCCAAAACGTTACCATTTGTCGAATTTTTACTTTCATTTTACAAATGAAGTTGACTTAAAAATTAGGTTGAAATAAATCATATTCTCAGATAGGTGTGGCTGTAAATAAATGCAAGATTCAGAAAGCAACAAACAGGATAATCTTCAATTCTTGAAGCGTTCTTTGAATTGTTTCCTTGAAGTAGTAATTCTTCAATATTATTTAGTTCTAGCAAACATTTGAATATATAATGATGATTATTATTATTGAAATTTCCCTCATACCGCATAATTCCATTTCATAATAATAATAATCCTTGCATTTGATACTGTGCCTTATTATGTTGAGTGACTGTGTATCTTGCGGGCGAAAAATTATAAAATTAAAAGATGACCACCCCCAAGCTGAAATATTAATAAATACAAAATTTCACCAAATAATTTAGATTGTAAGGAAATTGTTCAAAAGGGCAATGTTATGAGACTCTTAGCTGCAAGACATTTAATTGATTTAATAAGAATCTCACTTATCACTGAGTTTACATTGGAAACAAAGTTCTCTTAATAGAATCCATTTCAGATTGTAAAGGGCTGGTATCTGGCCACACAGACATAGGAACAGCTCTTGCTTATGCGGGTCCAGGAGCCTTCAAAGAAGAACAGCCTCAGAAACATTTGAAACTCTGATTGAATCTGGATTTTATTTGGTATGGTGCTGACGCAAGCTGGTGCACCAGAAATAAGACAGCAGTAGTCAAAATTATCAGAAGTTCCTCATTCATTTTGAAAGTTTTACAAGCGGAACTTAAAATTTTTCCCCTCAACTTTATATTGCCCTCCCGGTGATGTCATTGGTTTCATTATTAGTATGAATGCATTCAAGAGGAAGCTAGATGCATTCACATGAGGATATGAGAGCTCCCTTAATGGCTTTGTTGGTAAAGCCACCCACAGAACTAAAAATGTGTCCCACAAGACCCAACATGTCACAGCATTGAACCCTAATTTGCGCAGATCTCAGATGGGGTAGCATTAATGACACTACTATAGACTTCAGCTCCTTGAGCTAGTGAGGAGAATTAAGCCAGAGCCCCAAACACTGTCCACTGACCCCTTTCCCTCCACCCTCTCTTGACGGAAGAGTCTCATAGGAAAGAGTTGAGCAATGACTGGATCAGTCTCATCTGTGGTGCCTCTCAGTTGAATAACTGAACCAAGTTCACAGATGGCCACTTGAGTAAAACACCGGAAGGGTGTTACATGCTCATGGAGTTGTCAACCAAAATGTCTTCCAGAAAGGAAGAGAGAAGATGGGAAGGCATGAAAGAAAAAGACAAAGAACAATATAATTTTGAGGGAGACTTTTAATTTGTAGCTTCACGTTTCTGAAGTTCTGAGCATGCTTTAATATGGAGCTCAACTAGGTGTTCAAATTTTAAACATTTGAATGTGTCTTGGGAATTCATCTAACTACAGATTTGTTAGCACAAAATTGTTCCAATTCATTGCACAGTTGCACGAAATCCCATAAGAAAAAAAAACCTTGAATTAAAATGTATTTAGAGCAGTATACAGTGCACACTAAATCTGACCCTTGAGCTGAGGGTGGTTCCGCTTATAACAAGCGCAAAGTAGATTAGCTAATTTCTTTTATATCCCTGCCCCTTACCTTGATAAGCATTTACTGGTGTTGGTAAACTAATATCATTTTATTAATTGTATGAAATAAATATATATATATGTGTGTATATACCACACCAAATTGTACCTTAGGTGTCCTTGGGATTCCAAATAAGAATAGAGTCACCATTAAAGTGTTGTGTTTCAAGGAAACACTTTCCCATGAGCTCTTATGGATAGTTTTGTGGATAGTTCTGCACTTGGCTCGCTTCCATCCTATGTCTATTGGTCACGATACTTAGACTTTTAATGAATGCCAAAGCTTTGGTCTGACATGTGTAAAATATACAGTTTTATTATGTTACTTCATCAGAAGCTAACATTAATGATATTTAGAAAGCATACATTTCTCTTTGCCACCCACTTTTTTCATGCCAAGGCAGCATGCTCCTCATTTACCAGATAGATGAGAACCGAACTTTGGAAAATTCATTGTTCATACAGGTGGTTTGCTCCTTGTGAAGTTACTGCATGTTCTTTTGGGGGTAATTTTGTACGGAAAAATGAAACCACCTAACTAACTCAATCTTACATTCAGGTTACGAAGTGTAAAAATGGAACAAAGAAAATTAAATGATCAGGCAAACACTTTGGTGGATCTCGCTAAGGTCAGTAGCAATTTTTGTATCATTGTTTAAATGTTGTGTTCTTCTAAAAGTTGAAAGATATGGTTCTGGATTTTTTATAAGCATTTTTGAATTTGAATGCATTTCTTTTGTATTGTGTAAGGATCTCATAACACATGGTTTTCTTATTGATGGGTAATCAAACAATCAAGTGATCAGAATTATTTGCATTTTCCATCATCTGAATTCATCCTGTTACATCTTATTTTGCACCCTATATGCTCCATCCAGTTATTTTTCTTCAGTCATAGGGATCGGTTATACAAATTGTTGGACACAGATGACCAAAGCTGCATGGGTAAAACAGACTATTAAGGAACACTGTCGTACATTTATCATGTAGGGCTCCTACCCAGGGCAAGTAAGTAAACAAATTATAAAGTTCAAAATCTAGGAGTTAGCAAGAGTTTTTTTATTTCTATTGTTGCTTTTATTGCTTAAAAGAAAGATTGTTATGAACCTTGGCAAGGAAGAGTTGAAACCAGGCTCAAACTGCAGGTCCCTTTAAATGTCTATGAATGACAGCAATGATAGTATTTACAATACCTGGGGAGGACACAGTACAAGAAAAGACCCAGGAGAGCAAACTAAACAGAGGTTTTGATCTCCAGATAGTTGGTCCTTCTAGTTAACATTTTAAATAGAATCTTTCCAAAAGATTAACTTTATAGGAGTCATGTTTCATTCCTACCCAGGACAAATATCCCTGCTAGACAAAAGAATCCTGGTTATCCTGAGAGACTGGTATTACATTATGAAAATGCACCACAAATCCCTGTGTTGATCGACCAATTTTGCCAGTCCCAATATCTGGCTCTTTGAAAAGCTTAACCTATTGGTAGGCTTACCCAAACTGTTTCCTTTAGTTCACCCACTGTATGAAGATTTTATATCTATAGAAGGTTCTCAGTAATCAGTTGTATACAGTGGGTCAAACTATTAACATCCACCTTAAAGAAGAAATAGTTCTTAGGATAAGTATTGTGGTAAGTACTTACTCCCATATATTTGTTGTACAGTTATGTATTTGTTACCAATTACTTAAAAAAGTTGGCATTTACTGATCTGAACTGTGAATCCGTCAAGTAAATGGGGGAAGAGTGGTGTACAGTTATACTAGTCATTAAAGCCAGTGGGATAACAGTTTTTAAGTAACAGCGTTTATTCTTTCAGTCTCTACTGAGTAGTTGCTAAAAATGAACAAAAGAATGATTCTACAGGGTGACCAAAAAGTCGTGATGAAAAGTCTAAAAAACAAAATATCATCATTTCTTTAAGACTTATTAGACATTATAATGGTATCACACCTTTTTGGTCACCCTGTAGCAGGTCATGTAATTGTGAATATTTTTATGAGTTATTGTTTACAAAATAAATACATAGGAGCATTCTGTGGTAAGTGCTTACCACTTATGATACTTAACCATAGTGTAATTGGCTTAGTTATTACTCACAATGCATGCCTGGTTGATTGGTTAGGATGCACATACAGGAAAGTTGAGATGGACATAAAATACCCATTCTTTTGAAGAAACGCAAGGAGGTTTAAATTGTGACATTTACCAACAGGATTCTTTACTAACAGTTCAAAGGCATATAACGTCCTTTCAATAACTGGAAATATGTTACACAGGAACTTGGCTCCAAAAGTAGATCCTGCCTGAGTTGAACATAACATACTTCCTGTTGCTGGCAGGATTCCCATTTGTGCATGGGGTTTGTTAATAAGGAATCCTGTTCAGAATTGCCATACAGTACATAAAACCTTAGAGTTAGGGCATGGGGCATTATGATCATCTCTTCAGTGCTTTGATCATTCTATGTCCTGTAGCTCAGTGGTTAGAGCACTCGCTTTGCAAGCAAGAGACCTGAGTTCAATCCCAGGCAGGGAGAAACCTTGGGCAAGTTTCCTTACTCCACACGCCTAATAATAATCCCTCCAAAAACCAAAAACAATAATAAATTGGTCATTTTCAATCTACGACTGTTTGTGGGACATTGCTGTGCGCAATTGGCTGCCGCGTTCGCCCACAAATATACAGTCAATTCACTTTACAGTGTGTTCTGTGAAGCGCTTTGGGACGTCCTCCCGACGTGAAAAGCGCTATATCAAATGCAAGGATTATTATTATTATTATTATTATATGTTTAAGTTAGTATTATGGGCCAAAGGGACAAGGTACCCAGTCCTTTTCCAGACATTGGGACATGAAACACAAAGTAATTGGCTGCCACGTTTCGCCCACAAAACCCACAGTCACTACACCTTACAGTGTATCCTGTGAAGCACTTTCAGACGTCTTGAAGACGTAATAAGGCGCTATATCAAATGCAAGGATTATTATCATTATAATGAATGCTGTGTAGGAACACAATTCAATGTGTTACGACTTATGGGGTTCTGAAAAGCCACCGTTTGAACTGGTTGGTGCCTGGTAGATGAGAGAGGCCTGACTTGTCCTCCAGTATTCCTTCTCTCTTCCCTTCCATCCAGTGAATTGGCTCAACAACACTTGCATTTATACAGCGCCCCTCACACAGGGTAGCCTCCCAGAGCGCTTGACAGATACAGAGCACAATGTCAAGCCAGGAAGAGGGGGAGATGACCGTAGGCACTGTCGAAGAGGAAGTTTTTCAGGCATGACCTGAAGATGAGGAAGAAAGGGGCAAGATGGATGGATAGAGGAAAAGTTTTCCAGAGTTTCGGGGCTTAGTGGCTGAAAGCATGGCCACCAGTGGTGGAACAGAAAGCACGAGTGACATGCATAGGACCGGAGCCTGTCGAGCGGAGACTGTGGGTTGGGGGGTAAGCAGGTGCTAGAGGTGCCAGGGCATGAAGAGATTTGAAAATGAGGATCTTGAAATTGATCCGTTCGGCAATAGTGAGCCAGTGGAGCCTGGCTAGACCTCGTTCATCTCCACAGATCTCCTTGGTGTCCTTTGTTGGAAACTTCAAACCAGCATATTACATTCATATATAAAATGAGGTTTCAAGTGCAATACAGACTGCCTCCCTAAGGCACTGTCTCCGAAACAGCAATTCCTGATTTTCATCAGGCTACATGTAGTGATACCAAAATGTAATATCTAGTCTGTTCAAATATGGGTTGGAGAATGAAGTTAAAATTTTTAGCCCTTAGTGCTACAGTTGTATAGTTTTTTTTCAAATTTTATTTTTTGAGTGAAGATCTGGGACACAAATTAATGGACCTGATTACAGGACTGCACCAGCGTTTTTAGATTGTCTTAAATCATACTTTGACCTTGCTTTGGTCATCTTTCCCCTTCTCACTCCCCTTGGCCCCCACCCCCAGCTCGGGTGTTCAGCTAACATTGTCAAGCATTTTGAGACATTCTCCCGATCTGAAAGGCGCTAAATAAATGTAAATTATATTGTGTTATATCAGTGTTTCCCTGACTAAATGACTTTTTTTCTGCAAATCTCAAAAAGGTTGCTTCTACGATGTGAACATTGGATACATCAGTTACTTTAGCCTTTATTTCAAATGTGAAAGTGCTGTTTCTTGTGCATGCTTGTACGAAGACTAATGTTCTTGTGCTTCATTCCTTTTTACTGGCTTGGATATGATCGTTTTAAAATATGTTAAACTGCAGAAGAACAAGTAAAGCATAATTTGTTGAGAACTCTGATATGCAAGCCTAAAAATGATCAATTCTGTATACTTAGCCTATTGGGTTTACATTTTGTTTTATATTGTTACAGACATGGATAAAATGTGCACTGGCGTTATAGCGTTCTACTCTTGTTGGTAAATGTACCAGTCTTTGACAGTACAATTGGAACAGGAATTGCGATGATCTTTTGAATCACACTTTTTTCCTCATCTGTTTCTGTTTATTTGTTTTTAATTTGTTTCAGTGGTAAGTTATGATATTGTGTAGGTAGAGAAACAAGATGGGAGTCAGGAATGAACCCCAAATCCACAGGATTTCTGCAATATTCAGAACCCCCCCTATAATTACTGAAAACAAATTGGTAAATCTGTGATGAGAAATTCCATCTGGGTCTAGACTTACTCTATTTATGTGGTATTTTCAATAAGTACTTTTTTTAAGAGATGCAGTAAACTGGCTTCGAAGTTAAGGCTGAATTCAACAATTTGCCAAATTCTGCACACTCTGAAATGCTGCACAAACTGAATAAATCTAGACCCTGATGAAATTTCTGCAATGAATAAACAAGATGGAGATTTTTCTTGGTTTCTGACTGAAACAAAAACTACAGCATTTTGTTTCTCACAAATAATGTTTCATGACTATTTTCATTTAAGAAGGTACTTCTGGCAAAACTCTCCAGAGGACAACAGAACCAAAACCCAAACTGAGAAAAACTCAAGTTCTTCTGAAAATTTGTCATAGACAATTTTCCACAATCATTAGAAATAAGACCATCAATATGGTTAGATTCAGATTCAGAGGATATTGGGTTCCATCAGTTGTGGACTTGAAACAAGGAGGTTCTTATATGAAGAAGAACCTTCTCCAAGCTACCAGGCTCTTAATCTATAACCGCTTCTGGCTGGTGGTGAGAACTTGTTGTGCACATATTGATTGCTGCTTTTGCTTACAAAATGCAGTCACTATATTTTGCAATAAATCCTGTAAAGTGCTTTGAGATGTACTCCTGACCTAAAAGGTGGTCTGTCAAATGCAATGATTATTATTTTATTATCAGGGTCAGGGAACACATATCCTTCTCACTAAATGGAAAAATTGAGAAACAAATTTTTTGATAACAGCTTTTAAGATTCGATAACAGGTTTTACGAGAGAAGTAGATATTTGTTTGGGGAGGACAAGTTTTCAGGGTCTTGGGGAGAGAGCGGGGGAATGGGATTGAATTGGATAGCTCTTTTCAAAGAGCTGCAGACACAGTGCTGTATAATTCTATGATTCTATGAAATACAAATATTATCCAAAATGAGCAGATGATAGACTAATGCATACAATATCTCCATTATTGTAGTATGCAACTATCAGGATGGTAGATGGGAGTCCTGTAGCTCAGTGGTTAGAGCACTCGCTTTGCAAGCGAGAGACCTGAGTTCAATTCCAGGCAGGTCAGGGCGAAACCTTGGGCAAGTTTCCTTACTCCACACTCCTAATAATAATCCCTCCAAAACCAAAAACAATAATAAATTGATCACTTTCAATCTACGATTGTTTGTGGGACATTGCTGTGCGCAATTGGCTGCCGCGTTCGCCCACAAATATACAGTCAATTCAATTTACAGTGTGTTCTGTGAAGCGCTTTGGGACGTCCTCCCGACGTGAAAAGTGCTATATCAAATGCAAGGATTGTTATAATGATTATTATTATTATTAGAAGGTGGACTGGATGGACCTTTGGTCTTTTTTCATCTAAATGTTCCTATGTTCCAATGAGAAAAAGATATGAAAAAATATTACTTTCCAGCATTAGGCCCCTGCCTTCCCACACCCAGAAGTATGAAGACTTTGCTGACACAGAAAGCTATCTTCTGGTATTATTTTATTAAAGAGGGAAGAATTTGGACCAACTTCAGTTCCATTCTTAATGTCTGAATGATGACCCAGGTTAGATTTGGACTGTCAAGGCTGATCAGTGATGTTTATTCCCTGAACTCCTGCTAGGATTTATATAAAAAAATGGGATTTCAGGAATTAAAGAGACCAAACATTGACATCTTTTGAATGCTGGTCAGCAAAGAGCAAACTTCAGACACTAGAGGGGAAAAAAAAAATTTCTCTGAGGATTGAGATTGCATGTTTTATGAGGAATTTTATAATTTTATTATTTTTCCTAAAAGTTAACGGGTTTGAATTTACAATTTAAGTAATTTTCATAATTATTCCTAGAGTTGATTAGCAATCTCTACATTTGATGTAGTGCCTATAAATAAACATCTCAAAGTGCATTACAGTAATTATTAATAAGTGTTTGTCGGCAAATGCTCCAGGCAATTTGTACACGAGCACCCAAAAGGTAAATGATCAAATTATTTGGAGAATGATTGCCAGAATCGCAAGAGAAACTCCCTTTTGATAAAGGGTCATTGGTTCTTAATTGTCTAGCTTAAGAAGCAGATAGGACCTCACTTTAACAATTCAACCAAAACATGGCACTTCTAACAGGGCAGCATTCCCCAAGACTACGCTTAACCTAGACTCTTAAAATCAAAGTACGCTGTGTGGGACTAGCACCCTTCTTACTCAGAGGCAAGAATGCTACATACTCTTTTTACGTATCCCATCGAGCATGGACATGGAGAAAATATCCATTTTTAACATCTGCACGCCCCAAATTCTACTTCCAACTTCCAAATTAGGCCTGAACTTTAAGAATTTTAAAAAAATGGAAATTAAGAATTTCGGATCTCAAGTGTTTTTCTAAATTATGTTTTATTTTGAAGCAATTTATGTACTTTTAAAGCACTTAAGATCTCGCCATACATAAAGGTTGCTACATAAATGCTATATAAATGCAAATTGTTGTTCTGAAATAATTTCCAAGTTTTGTTTTGCCATGTACTTGATTAACTTGAGTAACTTCAAGACCAACCACCTCATGCGATTAGGAATAAATCTCTTCCCCAATATTGGGAATTGAGAAAATAGAATTGAACATTGTGGTTGATGTAGAAAACAACGATGGTGCCCAAGGTACAATTGGGACCTGAGAAGATTTGTGCTTAATCATCTGTGCATATATATGAAGTATATATGATTACATATACGATTCACTGATGGTTGAACTTCAGAAATTGAGCAAGAGTCAAAAGCATTATTTTTCTGCCAGCTTAATTGTCATTTTAGGCTGTCAACCAGCAAAACAATGTTTACTATAATTTTTTGTAAATGTGATAATATTCATATGTTATGCATTATCAATTAGTAGATTTTATTAAAAACTAGCAGATTTTCATTTCGTCTGGACCTGATTTTGATGACAGCTGTAAGATTGGAACAAAACCGTACAACCAACCAGCAACAGGTTTCACACTGTATTCTTTCCCTCTTTGCAGACACAGAACATTATGTACGACATGATCTCAGACCTGAATGAAAGGAGCGAAGACCTTGAGAAAAGGATTGTAACATTGGAAACCAAACTAGAGACATTAATCGGGAGTATTCAAGCTCTACCTGGATTGATTAGCCAGACAATCAGTCATCAGCAGAGGGAGTTTCTCGAAGCTCAAATGCAACAATATGACAAACAGATTACCTACAGTGCTGAGCGGTCACGGTCATCAACCAGGAGAAGAAGATCCTCCTCTACAGCGGCACCGACTTCATCGGAAAGTAGCTAGAAATTAATATTTTAACTTTTTTTTGCCATCATATGGTTGATATTTTAGCTTTTATTGTAAAGCCCTAACAGTACTAAACAGTGTTATCCAGATTCTGATGTCAGAATCCAGGGAACCTGACAAAAATATTTTAGGCCAAAAGGAGTGCAGACTCTCCTTCAGATGCACAGTGAATGCACCTAACATTGCTATGTAGATTGTTTCTTCTGTAAAATTCACTTGACTTTTTACTCACGCACTTCAACTGACTTTACTAATATATAATAAAAAGAACATTTCTGCATATTTCTGTTTGGTCAGTTTTAAACCCTCTTCTTTGTGGGTGCAGCTTCTGCGGAACTCAGGTGCTCAAAGAATAATGAACAAGGAAGTGTATGTTGTTCTAACTCTGAATATTATGTTGACTAATGCCTTTTTAAACACAAATAAGTAAACATGTAGTTTATCTGAACATTAGATGAATACAATGTTGACCTTAACCTTAATTTTAAAAAAGTTATTAAACATTTTATATATACATATATATTATATATAACTCAATGACTGTTAAGACTAATAAATATAGAGGATGCTATTCATTATCACACATGATTTGTCTGCCAAATTTATGACTTTCATTAGTGAGCTATGACCTTGTAACCTGCTTGAAAGGTAGAAATGAGATCAAACTGAAAGTGGTGAAACAAAGCGGAGGCTAGTTTACAGTAGGACCTGAAATGTAAAACCCATGCTATAATTGAGCTGCTTTTCCAAGAAACGAATCTGCTATACTCATCTTAAGGAACCATAGAAATGTATAGCACAGAAAAAGGCCAGCCAGCTCATTGTGTCTGTGCTGGCTCTTTTAAGTGCAGTCCTTTCAATTTCATATATTTCATATGGTGCTTCCAAGGGAGATGATTGGTGAAAACATCTTCTTTGTATAGCACCAGTGAAAATATTCCAGTCAAGAACTGGCCAAGATGTCTGAATGGGACTGAGAGAGAAAGGAAGGTCGAGGAGAGACAGAGAAAAATGTATAGACAGTAGATTCAGAGAGACAGAATTTGGAGAGACAAAGCAAGAGAGAGAGGGGGAGAAAGAACCATGGATTTAGAAAGCAGAGACATGGAAAGGAGATAAGGATGTATTCACAGGGATAAAGGAGACTAAAGAATCAAAAAAAAGAGAAAGGAGAGCATAGGAGAGAAAGAGAAGTGAACAAAGGAAGAAAAATAGAAAAACATTTGCTTATTGAACAGAAAACATCTGGCATTCAACCATCAGTATTAATGTACATTCACTCACTGAGACTGAACCATATTTGTACCTCTGTGATATGGCATTGTAATCTGTAGTGAATGTATTTTGTAGCCAAATGCGGCAGCCAATTTGCCCACAGCAGTGACCCACAAACAGCCATAGAGTGAATGATAAATTTTATTTGGGTGATTGTTGGCCAGGACACCAGTAGAAATGCCCTTCTCTTTTCAAATAGTCCCATGGGATCTTTAACGTCCGGACCTCAGTCAGGACCTCAGTCTCATCTGAAGCACAAGATCATTGACAATGCAGCAGTCCCCTAGTACTGTACTAGAGTATATTCTATATGAGCTCAAAGTCCTGCCATGGGGCTTGAACTCACAACCTTTTGACTTAGAGGTGAGAGTGCTACCGATTGAATCGGGCTGACACTTATATGGTTACCGTTTTCCTTTAACTGTTTAAAGGTAGAGAAAAAAGATTGCTATGTTCACTTGCAGTCAAATTGCCTTGAAGTGAAAATATCAGATGTTTTCTGAATTATTTTATTCGTACAACCTATAAAATGATGGCAAAGGAAACGTCAGTTATATACTTAGCATTTAAATTATAGAGAAAAGACTTTGAAGGGTTTTAAAATTATACCATACATTATAATGCAAATGTATAATGTTACACTGAAAATTAAAATGCTGCTGAAATTATGGTTATCAAATTTAATGAGGAAATGACATGTGAGGCAACCCTTGATAATCTTTCCAACAATTCTAGGTTGATATGATAAATGTGTTCAAAATAATGACAAGTGTTGGCCAAGTGAATGTGAAACTGTACATCATTCCAGTCGAGGAATCCAGGATAAGACCTTAAAATTACAGCTGAGCTGGTGAAAGGGAGTACAAAAAAANTCTTTACACAATGGGAACGTCCATAGGAAGAGAGCTTTATAAGTGGGGATATGGAATAAAGGAAGGAAGAGGAATTCAAGAGAGTTGCAATAGTTGAACTTCCTGTGCTAGTGCTGACAGCTAGAAAATATCACCTGAAGGCAAGCCCTGAGGGAAAATTAGGCTGGTGTGTACTGACATTTATTCTCAGCTATTCTGTACATCATCAAATAATGTAAGTGCAAATTTTGAATATAGGTCAATCGAACAATGAATGAGCATGGTCATAGGTGCAAAGCTGGTCTGTAGAACCTTTGCCGTCTGCTTTTCATTCAACCGTATTATAATGGTAAATCAAAAAAGACAAAATCACATTAACAATATCTCCCTATTTATTAATTAATTTATTAATAGTCATTGATTTCTTTAATGTACATTACTGCTGCTTATTAGCAACTTGCCTCAGCCAATGTGAAGAAGTCTGGCTCCATGGAATTGATTGCTGGTTGTAGCTCAGATGAAATTCTAGTAGACTGAATATAAAAATGCTCAGTGCAGAGGATATTGTATTTGGTATTCACGTGAACATCTTTAAGCACATTTCAAGTTCAACATTGTGATTAGATTACACCTGTGCTACATGGACTAGCTGATTCACTTAGATTTTAAAATAGAAGCTTGGCAATAAGTCAACATATGGTTGTATTGGTTGTACGGTGTCATCCTTCCACTCTCAGTTCATAGCACGGCGGTTTCAAAGCTCGAATGGCAGATCAAAAAGATGCAATGTAGCATTATATTCTGCATGTTTCCTACTCATCATTTTGTTATATGCTTACAGATTATAAAGCAATGCTATTAAAATCATAACTTTTCGAACAACATAATTTAGTTTTGTTGCTATATTTTAAAACTTGACTCATCTTTAGACTGAAGTCAGTATGCACTTTTTAAATATTTTAGTTATTAGTCAGCTATAAGATTTTATTTGAAAACAGTGTTTAATGTTGTTTAATGCTAGGACCTTTCGTATCAGTAGTAACTGACCGTTTCCTTGTCAAACTACATCTGGTCCTATGGCATGACTGAACAGAAGTATGGAAGCACAGGGATTGCGGTATTTGATCTACTGGGGAGGTTAGAAGGAGCTTCTTCATGCAGAAGGTGGTGAGAATGTGGAACCCATAGCTGGAAGCTGCAGTTGAAGCAAAAACAAATCAACGTATTTAAGAGAAAACTTGATGCTATATGACGGAGAAGAGAATAAAAGGGTATAGGAGAGGGCAGTCAAAAAGGTTGGGATTTGTGTGGAGTATAAAAACCAGCAAGGACTGGTTGTGCTGAATGATCTGAATCCATACTATATCATTCTATGTAATTCTATGCGTGCATTTGTCTGCATTCTTCAATTGTGTTGTGTTGTATTAAATTTGAAGATGGAATTTACTGTTAAACATAATGTGTAACTATTCTCTTTCAAGAATCTCTTTCAAATGCAGTATACACCGCAGCAGTTGAAAATGATTCTTTATTTAGAAACCAATGAACTAAAGAGATTATGTTCCTCATTGATTTTAGTACAATAACAACAAAATTACATTTGTATAGCGCCTTTCACATCAAGAGGACATCCCAAAGCGCTGGTACAGCACCATACCGTCATGACAAGACCACCAAAACGGCTCTTAAACCTATTTCATCAAGACAGTAGAACAAGAGGTCATAGATTCAGACTTGCAAAGGGTAATTTCAGGACAGATGCTAGGAAGTTTTTCTTCACTGTTGCCAGGAACAGTAGTTGAGGCCAGACCATTGGATAATTTAAAAAGCAGTTTGATTCCCTGCTGGGAGGACAATATTGTGAGTGTTCTGGAGGGATAAGGTCAGATGGGCTGAAGGAACTTCTTCAACCGAAGTGATCTTGTGATTCTTTCAGAACACTCTCTCTACCATCTCCCATTACAGCATCAAGCTGTTTCTTAAATGAGTCCAGCGATCTCACCTCAACTATGCTTCCTGGCAGCCCATCCCAGCTGTTGATTACCCCTTGAACAAAGCCAAGTTGTACTATAGAAACTGATAGCACATGTACAAGATTATTGGCAAGGCTGAAGCCCTCCAGTCTCCCAATTTTATTTTTTGATGTTCTAAGTGCCATAAATCAACAGTGACCATGGGCCTATCAATGCTGCTCTGAACATTAGGAATTGCTGAAGCTGAGTCCAGATGAGGCTTTCCAGCTGATTTCCTCTTGTGTGGTAAAGAACCAGCTTTTACTGCATCCAAAAATTGCCCTAATTCAGAATTGAATCAAGTGATTCTTTACCCCTTCACCTCAGCCCTCGGCGCTGTAAGTTGGTACTCCAACCATTAAATGACTGCTCTGGCTGAACCATACTATTGCTAAAATCTAATGAAATGTGTACTTTGGAATTCATCCCAATCTTCATTTTGTTTTCCTTTAGTGTTAAAATGTATTACAATACAGTACAATTTACATTTAACATAACCCTTTACATCAGGAGGACATCTCAAAGTGTTTCACACTGCTGGTTGGGCAATTGGCTCGGGGGGTTGGGTGCTGAAGAGGACAGGGAGGGGAAAGATGACCGAAAGCACAGTCAAAGGAGTAAGTCTTAAAGTAGACTATGAATGTGAGGAGGGAGAGAGTTGTAGGGATTCTGGGATGGAGTTCCAGAGAGATGGGTCATAATGGCTGAGAGTGGGCGGATATGTCCCCCACCCTGAGTGAAGGGAGAGGCTGGGTCATTCGGGTTGCAGGAGGTGGCCTAAATAGGGTGGGATGAGCGTGGAGGGATTTAAAGGCGAGAATGTTGATCTTGAATCCACTGTAGAACGGGGAGGTAGAGGAGCAAAGCGGGCATGGAGTTGATAGGTTTGAGGAGCCTGGTGCAGGATAGGTCACTGGCCAATGCAGTGCTAAGGATGAATTGCATTGTCAGAAGTGTTGTCCTTCGGATTCATGTCTGCTTGTTCAGGTAGACATTAAAGATTCCATGGCAATTCAAAAGAGAAAGAAATTTCTCCCATTCTCCTGGCCACCAATCCACCAAATCAAATTGGTCACTCACTTCATGGTTGTTTGTGGAACATTGCTGTGTATAATTGGCTGCTATGTTAGCCTAAAATGACA